CTGAAATGATCCGTATTGTTAGAGCTACACCAAACTGCTAAGATCTCTCATCGCTGCTTGCTCTGGGCGACCATCGGTGTCTTTTGTCCTAGTTGGCTTATTAAGGGCCCATTCACACTGCAGCATTGCATTAATAGCACGACACTGTGCGAGTAACGAACGCTACCGCACAGCACACCTACTTTATTTTGATGTGATAAGCTTGGTGTGCTGCACTATAGAGTTCATTGATTGCACAATGTCATGTGACTAATGCAAAGCTATGGTGTGAATGATCTCTTAATAAGCCAATTAGCACAAAAGGCACCACTGGTCACCCATGGTGACCAGGAGATGCATTGGGGTGCCAAATATCCAATGAATGGCAATACAACTTACTTAGCACAAAATAATGCATGCTAGTTGTGCTGTGTAATAGTGTGCGTTAATCACACGGTATTGTGTGATTAACTCAACACTATGGTGTGAATGGGCCCTTAATAAAACAGTACAGTGATCAGGAATGGTATATAAAGCAGCTAAAGCTCCCGGTGACAAGATTTCAGCAGTTTATCATCTAACAGCAGCACGAGCAATGACAGATACTTGTAGATACAATGTTATCACACTGTTGCTCTTTGTTTTACATAATAACACCCAATGAGATTAACTTCTATGGCCTGCTTCAAATGACTTGTCATCCTAAAGTGTGGATTCTAAAGTAACTCAAAGAAACCTTGTACTGGTCTGTTTGGACTTCTATGGGTTAATACACTTAAAGTGAACCTCAACTCAAAGTGAAGCTTTGCTGTGCTATAAGGTACATTTTAAAATGCTATTTGTGCCTAAGGCCTCATTCACTTAGCGTAGAGTGGGGCCATACAGATCCGTGCTGCATTCACGGCCGTACCCGGGAGAGACAGGTGCTGCGTGTAATTGCACGCAGCTGCCTGTTCTTACCTATGGGAGGATGCGGCCGTGAGGATGCGGGTGTCAGTGCTCGGACGCAGACAGGATCCATCATGTCTGTGTCCGAGTATGGACACCCACACCTGCACAGATGTGCTGCTCGAGTGTGCGTATGGCCGAGTCCTCCCATAGAGAAGAACAGGCCGCTGCCTACAGTCACACACAGCACCCTTCCCTCCCGGGAGCGGCCTGATACGGCCGTGTACGCCACGCGGATCTGTATGGCCCCACTCTAAACTATGTGAATGAGGCCTATGGAGTACCCTGAAAACAGCAGTGCACTTCCTAGGAGGGTGCCTAGACCAGGGGTAGGCAACCTTAGCACTGTGTGGATGGAGGAATCTGCCACTGGGCCAAGCTTCAGTATCTTGCTAGTCGGCCCTGCTGGCTCTAAAAATACATGAACAATGCCTGCATCCAATCAGATTGTTCAAGTATTTTGACAGCCAGCGGGGCCGACTAGCAAGATACTGAAGCTTGGCCCAGTGGGAGATTCCTCCATCCACACAGTTTTGCGTAGATGGAGGAATCTGTTGCACTGTTTCCATCTGACCATAGGAAATCTGCACACAGTCTATAGGTATATGGCCAGCTTAAGACTCTATCAGCCACAGGCATGATGGGATTTCTAGTCTCACCACATCTGCAGTACCTACCTCTGGTCTAGGCACATTGTTATTCAGCATTTTGTGGTGCACTACAATGCACTACAACGTGCTGTGATGCATAGAATGAAAGAAAAGTAATTTTGTCACATTTCGAATAAGTTTAGGAAATTATACAGTGCAATACATAGTAAGACGGTATCCCACCGCCCCCACACAACGCGCACCGGCGGGTGTGCCTTATCAGGAGCATACACCATGTGCAGTGGTGTGAATGGGCCCTTGCTTTAATGCTGAGGAGAGGGTCCTTATCCTTGTGAAAACCTTGAGTTGTAACTTGGAGATTACACATGGCTTCCTTCATACACTTCCGGCAGTCAAAAATAGTGGCGGGGTAGCAAAGGGGAGGTGAGCATGTGCAGCTTAGGGGTGGGGGGGGGGGCAACATTAAAGTGAACCTGTTGCTTTACCATGCATGGGCAAAGCAGAGCTTCCCTTTATGAATTAGAACTTTAGACAAAGCATATAAACCGTCTTCTTCAGCGCCAGGAGCAAAGAACTAAATGCAGTAAAACCATATCATGCCATAAACATTCACTTTACCATTTTACCTGTATAGGAAGGATTGTGGATGGCTGCTGTGAGTAATGCTTTTTGCACTTCAGTCGTCCATACACTAGAGGATTGCAGATTTTTTGTTGTTGTTGAGCTGAAATGAAAAGACTAAAAGATTTTTAGCATGGATGGGGGAATTCATAAAACTACTGTATTCTTATAGCAGCAGGTGTGCAGCTGTCTGAATACCTGAACAGTGACTGCCGCTGATCATTTTAGCTCTTTGCTCTGGTTTAGCACTCGTTCACAGTTGCAACAAGTCTCAACATAAGGAGGATGGTGCCCTTCACACCCAAAGCTGGCTACATACTTTTAATATGACAGATCCCTCTATCGAAGCTAACAGCATGGATGCACAAATCTACCGCTGTGTACATTGTAATCTGACAGTGAAGTCTGCTGCTGTCAGAATACTTAAACAGTGCTTGCAGCTGATTGGCTGACAACTTTCCAATGATTGGCTGACAACTTTCCAGAAAGATTTGTGGCTGATTCCTGAGTATTTGGCTGAAATTTCACCTGTGTGTACCCATCTTCATATCTCCTCCTAGTACCTAGCTTTCCATTGGCTAAAACAAAAACATTTTAAGAGACACTAAACTCAGGAGTTCAATCTAAAAAATAAATTCAAGGACCCTAACTATTAACAGAAATGTATCTTATTTGTGTATCACTCGGCTGTAGATCCTGAAATCATCTCTGAATTGGTGCTGACACTGTCCTTCCTTCTGGAGGGTGGCTACTTTTGTTCCCCATGGTCCCTGTGTGTGTTGTAAAGTAGCCACTAGGGCTGAAACAACTAATTGATTACATCGATTATAATCAATAATTATATTATTGGCAACGATTCCCATCATCGATTAGTTGCCACCACTCTGCTCCTACCTGATGGTGCTGGCTGCAGCAGCCTGTGTCCCTTTCAATCCCCGCTGCTCTCCCCGCCTGTATCGGTGACACAGACCACTGCAACCGGCACCAGCGGGGAGGAGAGACTGCTGTGACTCTGCAATCCCCCATTGCCCCCCCAGTACCTCCGCAGCTGCTCTGTTCTTCTTCCTCTGCCCACCCTGTTCCTTCTCCTCTGCCCGGCCCCTTTTCTGCTCCCCCGTGTCCCCTATTCTGTCGATGTTCTATCAATATCTCGGACTCGAGTCCGAGGGATTGATAGAACACTGGCGGCAAGTCTCCCATCAGAGGCTGGAAACAATAGCCAGCCTGCTATTGGATATTTTAAATTGCAATAGCCAATAGCAGGCTGGCTATTGCACCCGCCCACTGCCTGCAGTCAATCAGAAGAGGAGGACCTGATGGAGAACTTTCTCCTTCAGTTCCCTCCTCTGCTGAGTGACAGCAGGCAATGGCTGGATGCAATAGCCAGCCTGCTATTGGCTATTGCAATTTAAAATAACCAATAACAGGCTGGCTATTGCTGTTGACATTCAAATGCAGTGAAGTGGAAAGGTGACACTAGGACCCCTAATGTCACCTTAAAGAGAACCTGTCACTTCCAATGTGCCTCACATAAGGGGCTTGTGAGCAACCCCTCCCCCCCCCCC